GGATGTCCTGGCAGGTGTGCCGGGGTCGGCGGTGGGGGTCTCTGGGGTGCTGGCACGTGGGGCTAGACTCACGTCCCCCCACTGCCCTCAGAACTGCTCCTGAGAAGGATGGAGCTGAAGCCTCTCCGGGTGTACAGCGAGCAGGCCGAGGCCAGCGAGTTCCCAGTGCCGCGCCTGGGCAGCAGGAAGCTGCTCAGGAGGAACCCCCGGGAGGGGAGGCCGAACCAGAGCCTCAGGTGTGCCCGCTGTCTTTGGGGCTTGGGCCAGGTGGGGCCGAGCTGTCCCGCCAGCCCTGTGTAGGTGGGTCTCACTGAACTCTGCCTCCGGGATGTCCTGCGTGACAGGGCTCACTGTGTTCTGCCCACCAGGAGCATCACCCTGCACCATCGGATCCGGCAGGCCCCCAACCCGTACTCGTCGGAAATCAAGGCCTTTGACACCCGGCTGCAGAGCGGGGAGCTTTTCTCCAGGGAGGACCTGGTCTTGTAAGTGGCAGGGGCCCGGGGGTGGAGCTGCCTGCAGCGTGGGGGCCCTGGGGTGACAGGCAGTGTCCCTGTCAGGTACAAGAAGGTCTTGTGGGAGGCTCGGAAGTTCGAGCTGGACCGGCACGAGGTCATCCTCTGCACCTGCTCCTGTGCAGCCTCCGCCAGCCTCAAAACCCTGGATGTGAGGCAGATCCTTGTTGATGAGGCAGGCATGGCCACAGAACCTGAAACCCTCATCCCCCTGGTGCGGTTCCCACAGGCCGAGAAGGTTGGTGGGGCGGGGTGTGTGGGTAGCACGGGCAGGCGTCCCTGGCACAGTCTCGCACCTGAGGCACCCTGTGTGTGCAGACGTGGGCGTTGTGTGGGGCTGGGGTCCTTCTGGGTCTAGCAGTGTCAGGGCCAGGCCTGCCTATTCCTCCAGGTGGTTCTTCTTGGAGACCACAAGCAGCTGCGGCCTGTGGTCAAGAATGAGTGGCTGCAAAACCTGGGTCTGGACCGGTCTCTGTTCGAGCGGTACCACGAGGATGCACACATGCTGGACACTCAGTACCGCATGGTGAGCCTGCCCCGCTCAGCCCCCAGCCCACCTGCAGCCCCTGGGGGGCCACAGCCCCATGTGGCAGCTCCGGCACCTCTGACCAGTGCACATCCTTGCCTGCAGCACGAGGGCATCTGTGCCTTCCCCTCAGCGGCATTCTACAAGAGCAGACTGAAGACGTGGCAGGGCCTGAAGAGGCCGCCCAGTGTCCTGGGCCACGCTGGCAAGGAGAGCTGCCCTGTCATCTTTGGCCACGTGCAGGGCCACGAGCGGAGCCTGCTGGTGTCCACGGATGAAGGGAATGAGAACTCCAAGGCCAACCTGGAGGAGGTGGCTGAGGTGGTGAGTGTCTGGTGCCTGGAGGTCAGGGAGGGCTTCCTGGAGGAGGGCAGGAGAGGCACCAGGGTCCACTCTACCTGCCCCCTCGGCCCCTCAGGTCCGTATCACCAAGCAGCTGACCCTGGGGAGGACCATAGAGCCCCAGGACGTTGCCGTCCTCACGCCCTACAACGCGCAGGCCTCTGAAATCAGCAAGGCCCTTCGGCGAGAGGGCATCGCTGGGGTGGCTGTGTCCTCCATCACCAAGAGCCAGGGTGAGGCTGGGGGCTCATGGGTGGGGCCAGGAGGGTGGGCGAAGTGGCCGCAGGGCCTCACTTTCCATCCTGCAGGGAGCGAGTGGCGCTATGTGCTGGTGAGCACTGTCCGCACCTGTGCCAAGAGCGACCTGGACCAGCGGCCCACCAAGAGCTGGCTCAAGAAGTTTCTGGGCTTCGTTGTGGACCCCAACCAAGTGAACGTGGCTGTCACTCGGGCCCAGGAGGGGCTCTGCCTGATCGGTGAGGGCAGGGCTGGGCTCTTCCTGGTGGGAACACAGGTGGGGCCAGGGCTGGGCTGGGGAGCTGCCCGACTCCGCCTGACTCCTGCCTGACCCTGACCCCTCCCGTCTGACCCTAACTCCTCCCGCCTGACCCTGACTCCGCCCACCTGACCCTGACCCCTCCCGCCTGACCCTGACTCCTCCTACCTGACTCTGACCCCTCCCGCCTGACCCTGACTCCTCCGGCCTGACCCTGCCTCCTCCCGCCTGACCCTGGCTCACCCCGCCTGACCCTGACTCCTCCGGCCTGACCCTGCCTCCTCCCGCCTGACCCTGACTCCTCCCGCCTGACCCTGACTCCTCCCACCTGACCCTGACCTCCCACCTGATCACAGCTCCTCCCGCCTGGCCCTGACTCCTCCCACCTGACCCTGACCCCTCCCGCCTGACCCTGGCTCACTCCCCTGACCCACAGCCTCTCCCGCCTGACCCTGACTCCTCCCCACCTGACCCTGGCTCCTCCCCCACCTGACCCTGACCCCTCCCACCCCAAGCCCACCTGGCTCCCACTCCCACCTGACCCTGACTCCTCCCGCCCTGACCCTGACCCCTCCTTTAGCTCCCACCTCACCAGAGACCACCTTCTCCTGCGCTGCTGCCCTCTGGCGTAGCCTGACCCTGACTCCTCCCGCCTGACCCTGACCCCTCCCGCCTGACTCCCACCCTCATAGGAGACCACCTTCTCCTGCGCTGCTGCCCCCTCTGGCGTAGCCTCCTGGACTTCTGTGAGGCTCAGCAGAGCCTCGTGCCTGCCGGCCAGGTGCGCATCTGCAGGAGGCCAACTATGCCTTCCTGAAGAGCCCTCCCCACCCGCAAGCTGCCAGGACTGGGAGGGCAAGTCCAGGGTCCCCCCAACCTCCCCACCGCCCTCCACCATCAGCCTGCCTGGGCCAGCCTGCCTCCTGGCCTCGGGCTCTCCCTGGGGCGGGAAGTGGGCAAACTTGGAGGAGGAGGAACAGTGAGGGCCGGTCCCCACACCCCTGCTTCTCCTGGGGATCTGGGGACAAGGACACCTCTCAGGGTGGCCAAAAGGGGCTTCTTTGGGACCAGTGCATGGTAGTTCTGCTGTCCCTGGGAAGTCTCAGAATCAGGAAGGAAAACCTATGGAGGCTGCCCTTTGACCTTTCGATGCCACCTGTGATCACTCTGGATGGCGTCTGTGGAGTTCAGGTTTATTCTGTATTTAAATGAACTCAAAGCCAGCATCCTGCCGGGCGTGGTAGCTCATGCCCGTAATCCAGCACTTTGGGAAGCCAAGACGGGGGGATCACCTGAGGTCAGGAGTTCGAGACCAGCCTGGCCAACATGGTGAAACCCTGTCTCCACTAAAAATACAAAATTAGCCGGGCGTGGTGGCGTGCACCTGTAATCCCAGCTACTTGGGAGGCTGAGGCATGAGAATTGCTTGAATCCAGGAGGCAGAGGTTGCAGCGAGCTCTGATCGCACCACTGCCCTCCAGCCTGGGTGACAGAGCGAGACCTTGTCTCAAAAAAAAAAAAAACAAAAAAACCAGCATCTATTACTGGAACAGAGACCTCAGCCTAAGCTCAGGACAAGGAGGCCCCCCTGGCAGAGGGGCCTTTTTCCCACCACCACCACCTGTGTCCTTCAGGGGCTGCTGAGGGCAGCCCAAAGCCAGGGCCACCCCGCCCCACCCTGCCCTCTAAATGTGAAAAGCCTGCAGTCTTCCCTCGGGCTGCGCGGTGGGCTGGGGGCGGGGGGCCGGGGCGATGCTTCCACCCTGGACTCCGTGCTCTGGGACAGCCTGCTCAGCTGCATCTGTTTCTTGAGCGCTGCCGCCTCGGGGCAGCTCTGCCCCTCCTGCTGCCTCCAGTCCTGAGGGAGGGGCTTGCCCCACCTTCTACATTCCAATTTTTATATCATTGAATTATGTGATTAGATATTAATTTAATGATAAAAGCACTCTGAAAGCTCTTCTCACTCCTGGGTGTTTTGAGGTTGGCTGGGGGGCAAAAGTGGGTGGCTACTGTGCTGGGGACGCGGCCGTGGAGGCTGTCGAGGGCCCACTGCAGAGTGCTGGGCGCAGGGGTGTGGGGAGGGCGGCGACCCCCCCTGCAGGGCTGGTGGCTTGGGCTGCCTGTGTCAGGAGGGGAGGGCCGGTGCCTGGTGTGGTGAGGACAGGCCACAGCTCCGGAGCTGCTCTGGTGTCACCAGACTGGCCAAGTCCAAAGTCCCTGAGGCCACCAGCCTTGACTGTCCTGTTGGTCCCACTTTTGAAGCTGCTCCCCAGGACCCCCTGGCCGCTGTGAGCTGGGGTCCCTCCGCACCTGGCCCATTCGTGACCACAGGGGCTCCCGTGGTCTCCCAGAGCCAGCTCGGGGGTCAGATGTTCGTGGGGGCTATGGTCACTGTGGGAAAAGAGGTTCTGGGCGTCTGTGGAGGGAGGGGCACAGCATGGAGTCTCCAGGACGGTGGCCTCCTTGGTGTGCTGGACGGGCCCTGCCTTGAAGACCACATCTATTCTTGGGCCGTCATGAAATAGTAGTTTGCAATAGCTTGAGAAGTGCCTGCAGAGAGGATGAGAAGGCACCTCTAGCAAAGGGGACTTGGGGACCTCACCAGCCTGCAGCCAGGGAAGGCTTCTTGGAGGAAGGGGCAGCTGTGGTCCTGAAGGTGAGCGGTGGGGGAAGCAGAGGCTGGACGCCTAGCAAAAGCAGCTGATCCTGGAGGAGAGAGGGAGCTCGGGGCTGGGACGGCCCTTGAGGAACAATCGGTGGGCGGGGCACGGAGGGGCACAGCTGAGCTGCTCACAGCCAGGGATCCCCGGTTGTGCCTGCTGCTGCCTCCTCCGGGGTGCTGGGCTGGGGCTGGGGTGGTGGGACGCACTTCGGTCTAGAAGTGTCATCCCCTTAGGGAGGCCCCCAAGCCAGGAAGTTGGGTAAGGCAGGCCGGAGCTCGGTCATGGTGATGGGTGTGGCGAGGAGAGGCGGGGGCTGGGACCGCCCTGTGGAGCAGCTCTCGTCATGGGAGGAGGCCCCCAGGTTCAGGGGCTGGCACTTCTTGCTCCAGGTTCAGCTGTCGTGGGAGGTCCGGCCTGGGGCTTGGCATGTTTTGAGCCAGGAAAAACACTGGTGGCTGCTGCCTTTAAAACATAAATAGGTTTGTGTCTTTAATTCCGTATGTGCATTTACACTCCTCTTTATTAGTGGATAAATATTAGAAAATCATCTCTCGGACAGAGTGGCTGAGGGTGGGCCCCTCCAGGGGCCCCGGCTTGGTCTGCAGGGTGAGGCTGTCCCTCCAGGGCTCGTACACCAGCGTGGAGGTCTCGGCCCTCTTGATGGTGAACTTGTAGGAACGGTTGGGCAGCAGGTTTCGGACGTCGAAGGTGCAGGCAGCCACGGGGATGACGCCACACTGGGCGCACTCCTGCTGCGTCCGCGGGTCCAGCAGCCTGAAGCGCAGTTCATACTGCTCCGAGGCGGCCGGCTGGATGGTGACGAACCAACGCAGCCGGGCCCAGTCCTGGTGGGCCGCCGACTCTTTTCTGTCAAACATGACGGGCATCTTGGTGCTCAGCATGAGCCATATGTGCGGGATCTTGGCGGCACTGACATCAGACACCAGGCGGTGTTTGACGTGCAGCCGTCCCGGCACCATCATGGTCAGGAAACTGTCCATGACGGCCGACACGTCCGCCAGCCGCCGCTCCACCAGCGCCCAGTCGGCCAGGAAGGGCCGTGGGTCCGGTGACTGGAGCAGGGCGTCCAGCTCAGCACGGCCATGGTCCAGCTGCTCCAGTAGGTCCCCGAGCAGCAGGAGCTGGATCTTGGTCTGAGCTGTGCCCACCTTCTTCATGCGCTGGAACTTCCAGGGGTCGATGAGCTGGAACACGGCGCTGGGCAGCACCAATGGGTTCTGGTCGCCCAGGGCTAGATGCTTGGGCAGGACCTCGATGTAGTAGGAGCACTTACGCAGCAGCTGCATGCGGGCGTGGTGGCGCTTGAGCAGGTGCGGGCTCAGGTCCGAAGTCAGGAACTCACGCAGGGCATTGCGGCGCTCGGTGTAGGTCCTCCACGCCTCTGGCTCCAGCAGCTGCTGGTCATCTGCCTCCTCCTGGTCTAGGAAGGACTGGGGATTGCCCAGCTTCATCTTGTCCAGGCCCAGGCCTGCCATGTGGGAGCTCATTATCCGGGAGCTGGGGGGAGGGCTGGGTGTCAACTGCCAGGCAGGCTGGCCTCCCCTGGGCCGTGGCACGCTCGGGGGATGGATTCAGCCCACTGCCCCCATGCTGGGCCTCTGTCCTTCCTCGGGGGCACAACTCACTGGGAAGAGGCTGCCTGGAGGGCTGGATGGGCAGGCTACAGATCTGGACACAGTTTATGCTGAGGAGCATAAACCTCTACTGACAACCGGTGGCCTGCGGGACAGGACAGGGAAGAGCTAGGACTGCGGACTTCTGGCCAGAATAGCCAGGGCAGAAACCCCAGCCTTGACCTGTGGCCTGGCAAGGGCCCCAGTTCCTAGCCCTGGTACTGAAAGGGGGTGCTGGCACCCTCAGGGCCGTGGAGAGGGGACAGTGTGGTCCTAAGCAGCCCAGAACCCCCTTAGGGACACTTGTGGGCCATCTTCCCACTCCGGTTCTCCGTGGGGACTCTCTACGCCTCACCGCAGTCGTAGAGCAGAGACGGGCCTCACCAAAGGCTAGGCCAGCTGGCCAGTCAGCGTGGGAGGAGGGCGGCCAGGCCTGGACCCGGAGGAGCAGCCCTCCTCCTACACTGTGGGCCCTCGCTGTGGACCCGGGACCCTGTCCCTGGTGAGCTCACGGACCCCACAAGCAACACTCTGTTTCCCAGATGGAGCCTGAGGCTAAGACGCTTGGTTCTTGCCCTCATCCAGGGTTTCAGCCCAGTGCTGAGCCGAGTCTGACCCTCTGTCTGTGGGTGCACCGGCTGAGTGCAGCTGTGGCCCCAGCCTCTGCCGATGCTCCCTTGAGAGCAAGCCGCACCCTGGCTGCTGCCCTGGCTCCCAGCAACCCTGGGGATCTCAGGCTGTCACAGCCACCAGGGCCTGGGATGAACCGCAAATGAGAGCTAATCGGTTGTGTGAGTTCCCCAAGGCCACACGGGTAGGTGGCAGCCATGTTTGCCTCACGCCCAAACGGACCACCCTTGACCTTCCTGGGGCAGCGGGGTGAGAACAGGACCCTGGGACAGCAGGGAGTGTGTCTAGGGTGAGGTGCCAGCTGAGAGCAGGACCCCGGGACCCCAGGCCTAAGCCCTGCTCTGGCTGGAGGCTGGGGTGGATTTCACCACTGGAGGGAAATCGTGCCTGTGACTGTGAGAGATGTTTTCCAGTCTCCAGTAGCTGCCCAGGTGGAAAACCCAGAGGGGCTGGTCGTGAACCCTGGAAAGCGGTTCTGAACCCCTGGCTGCTTCCCACACACCCCTGGTCCCAGGCCCGCTTCCCTGAGACCACCAGGTGCCCGCACCCTACCTCCTCCACCACACTCCCCTAGGCTCCCCTGGCCCGGGCCCACCTCCCCGGCCGCTGCCTGCCCCTTACCTTCCTGAGATCCCCAGCCCTCCTTTCCCAGCCCCCGCCGCCGCCCCAGACCCGCGCCCACTTGCCCTGCCTCCGAAGCGGAGCCGCGCGCGGACTTCCCAGAGCCCAGCCTCCCTCCGCGCTCCGCGGGTTGCCCTGGGGACCAGGGGCTTTTGTGACGCTGCTGCCCGGGGTCGGGGCGGGGGTGGGGACCCAGGACCCCGAGCCGAGGAATCTTCCATCCGCTTCGCTTCCTGGGGAGCCCCAGACTTCTGGGGGCCCGCGTCCCCGGCTTGGGGGCCACCTCGGGTGGCTGGTCCAAGAGCCGGGCTCCAAGTGGGGTTCCCGTCCCCACGCACCCCCGGCTTCCGGCGGGGCGCAGGAGCCTCAGGTGACTGGGAGGGGGTTCCTGCTCAACCCCCCAGTCCTAGTGCACTCCTCGGAATCCCTCGGAGGAATCTGGGAGCCAGGCAGGGCCCGGTGACCTGGCACATGGACCACCCAGTGCAGAGGAGAGGGGCGGCCCCGCCCAGCAAGGCCCCGCCCATCACAGGCTCCTCCCACCTCAGGCTCCCCCCAATCCCGCAACCGCCCCTCCCACCACAGGCTCCTCCCAGCGCAGGCTCCTCCCACCACAGGCTCACCCCACACGGCCCCTCCCACCACAGGCTCCTCCCACCACGGGCTCCTTCCGTACGGGGCGAGGGGTCTCCCACCTGGGGCCGCCCAAGCTCAGGCCCCGACCTGACTCTGGATAAATGGGGTCTTCATAGCTCCAGGGAGCCCCACAGAGGAGCTCTGAGGCCATCTGGTCCCGTCTGTATCCGTTCCATTGGGCTCAGGGCCTCTGGGATCCTCCCCTTCCCCCACAGCACACCCCAGCTACCTGGGGTTCTCCGGGGGTGACAATCTCAGACACCCCAAGGTGCCCCTCCTTCACCTTCAGGAAGATGCTGGAGGAAGACACTCTTTCCATCCTCCTCATCTCCATCCCCACGGAGGTCAGTGCTGGGGCCTCTTCCAGGATGGGCGTCTTTGAGCCCCTCCCAGGCTCTTCTGTAACCTGAGCTTCCCCCTCCTCCCGGCGACCCCACCTCGGAAGAGCTTTCCTTTGGCGCTTGGAGGCCCCAGGGGTTAGGCCTGGCAGGAAGTGGGTGGGTGTGGGTGGTTTTATTTTGAGATAGCGTCTTGCTCTGTCACCATGCTGCAGTCTCCACCTGCTCACTGCAGCCTCCACCCCTGAGCTCCAGTGATCCTCCCACCTGGGTCTTTCTGAGCCTTTAGGATTACAGGTGTGAGCCCCGCGCCCAGTCCTGTTGGGTGCTGTTTCTGCCTTGCCCTCCCTGCCTGGGCTGGAACTCAATAAATGTCAGCTATTGTTATTGTTGTTGTTGTTATTTAGGGCTCCAGGGGACGAAGCCAGGTTGTTTGGAGAAGGGGGTGCTGTCTGACACAGAGGGTTGGGAAGCAGTAGGAGTTAGACCCCTTACTCCCCACCCTGCAGCCCACTCACAGAGAAGCAGGGTGGGGGCAGAGCAGCCTCCCCTTCTCTTCTGGGGCCAGGCAGGTCCTGGATGTCTGCCCTCTCCTGGGTTCCACCCTATCCTCTTTCTTTCAATTTCTGATTTCTAATCTAATTTTTTTTTTTTTGAGACGGAGTCTTGCTCTGTCGCCCAGGCTGGAGTGCAGTGGCACAATGTTGGCTCACTGCAAGCTCCGCCTCCCAGGTTCACGCCATTCTCCTGCCTCAGCCTCCCGAGTAGCTGGGACTACAGGCACCCGCCACCACACCCGGCTAATTTTTTTTTGTATTTTTAGTAGAGACAGGATTTCACCATGTTAGGCAGAATGGTCTGGATCTCCTGACCTCATGATCCGCCCGCCTTGGCCTCCCAAAGTGCTGGGATTACAGGCATGAGCCACTGCACCCAGCCTCTAATCTAATTTTTTAAAGTTAAACTTTTAGCCAGGCTGGGTGGCTCAGGTCCATAATCCCAGAACTTTGAGAGGCCGAAGTGAGAGGATCCCTTGAGGCCAGAAGTTTGAGACCAGCCTGGGCAACATAGGGAGACCCGTCTCTACAAATAACTTGAAAAATTAGCTGGGTGTGGTGGTGTGCACCTGTGGTCTCAGCTACTTGGAAGGCTGAGGCTAGAGGATCACCTGAGCCTGGGAAGACTAGGCTGCAGTGAGCCAAGATGGTGCCACTGCACTCCAGCCTGGGTCACAGAGGGAGACCCTGTCTCTAAAAAGAATAATAATGGCTGGGTGCAGTGACTCACACCTATAATCCCAGCACTTTGGGAGGCTGAGGCAAGCAGATCACCTGAGGTCAGGAACTCGAGACCAGCCTGGCCAACATAGTGAGTGAGACCCAGTCTCTACTAACAGTACAAAAATTAGCCGGGCATGGTGGCGCATGCCTGTAGTCCCAGCTACTCGGGAGGCTGAGGCAGGAGAATCGCTTGAACCCAGGAGGTAGAGACTGCAGTGAGCCGAGATTGTGCTATGCACTCCAACCTGGGTGCAGGAAGACAGAGACCTGTCTCAAAAATCATAATAATAATAAAGTTAAACTTTTAGTTTTAAGATAATTGTAGATTTACCTGCAGTTGTAGGAAGTAACACAGAGGTCCCGTTACCCTCTACTCAGCGTCCCCAGTGGTAGCATCTTGCAAGACTGCAGTGCACAGTCACGCCAGGACCTTGACACTGATACAGACGCAGGACAGTGCCACCCCCATGGGACCCCATATGTTCTTTATGGCCATGCTGCTCCCTCCCACCCCTCCTTAACCCTGCAGCCACTCATCTCTCCGGCTCTGTCTGGTCGTTTCAAGAAGGTCCTGTCAGTGCAGGCTTTCAGTATGCAGCCTTGGGACTGGCTTCTTGGGCTCAACATAGTCCTCTCCGTGCAGAGCCAATGGTCACTCCTGTTCACTGCTGGGCACCAGGGGCCAGTTTGTGCTCAGTCTTGCTCAACCCTGTTTGTGGCCACCAGGGCATGGGCAGTGAACACTTTGGGTCTGTTGTCCCTGGTGGACACAGCTTCCCTGGGCCCTGAGGATGGTGAAGCCTGGGGATAGTGGGGCCAGTCATGGGGGAGAGAGTGCACCCTGACTGCTGAGACCCTCAGAGCTGTACCCTTCAGACGCATAAACCTGGGTGGGGGTGGCCTGCCACCAGCCTCCATCTAAACACTAGGAAGGGCCTGCACCCCATCCTCCTGGTCTGTATCCTCACTGCTGTTGTAAGCTCAGTGCTCTTACAGATGGGGAAACTGAGGCACAGGGAGGTTCAGCACTGTGTGCCCAAGGTCATGTGGCCAGTGAGTCTGACAGCAGAATTCCAGCCCTGGTCTTTTTTTTGGGGGGGGACGGAGCCTCACTCAGCTGCCGAGGCAGGAGTGTAGTGGCACCACAATCTCAGCTCGTTGCAACCACCGTCTCCCAGATTCAAGTGATTCTTCCGTCTCAGCCTCCCAAGTAGCTGGGATTACAGGTGCCCACCATCATGCCTAATTTTTGTATTTTAGTGGAGACGGGGTTTCACCATAGTTGCCTAGGCTGGTCTTGAACTCCTGACCTCAGGTGATGCACCCTCCTTGGCCTCCTAAAGTGCTGGGATTACAGGTGTGAACCACCGTGCCCGGCCTTTTCTTTTTTAAAAAAATAGAGATGGGAGTCTCACTATGTTGCCCAGGCTGGTCTTGAACCCTTGGGCTCAAGCGATCCTCCTGCTTGGCCTCCGCAAATGCTGGTATTGCAGGAGTGAGCCGCCTCACCTGGCCAAGCCCCAGTCTCCTGACCCCGTCCAGAGTGATCCTGTGCCCAGGCCCCTTTCCTCACTCCCCTCTGTGCCACCCATCCGGTTAGAGCTGAGGGACGAGGTGAGTCATGGGTGAGGGCACAGCAGGCAGGGAAGGAGCTGCTGACACGGACACCTGGCTGTGTTGCACCTGGTGGGTGAGGTGAGGAAGGGGTGGATGGGCGGGCACAGCTTGGAGGGCAGTGGGACAGGGTAGCTGGGCCTGCGGGGCCGGGGAATCTGAGGACCACCAGGGAGGAGCTGGATGGAGCTGGCCTTGGCTGCCTGCCAACCACGCTCACTGTGGCATGTGTGCAGTGCAAGGGCAGCAGGTGCAAGGAGGGGGAGATGGGGCGGACGTGGGGAGCTGATCTGTGGGCCGGTGGGGTAGTGGGGGTGAGACATGCCTGGGCAGAGGCCCAATGGGGCCCTAACCCTGACAGCCAGGCCTGCCTCTGGCTCCGGCTGGGCATGGAATGTGCTGAGTCCTATGCCATGATCCCGTGGCTCTAAGGGACAGGGAGTGTCTGGAAGGAATCTGCATTCAGTGCCCTGAACACCTGACCCCAGTGTGGTGAGCACAGGAGCCTTCCACGGCCTGAGGAGGCCTCCCTGGGGCTCTGCGGCCTTGGTGTTGTAGGAAGGAGGAGTCACATCCTGGGGGGGATTTAGGAGAGCTGGTGGCCACACCTGTAGTCCCAGCACTGTGGGAGACAGGAGGATCGCTTGAGGCCAAGAGTTCAAAACCAGCCTGGGCAACATAGTGAGATCCCATCTCTACAAATAATAAAAAATTTATCTGGGCATGGTGGCACACCTGTAGTCCGGCAGGAGGATAGCTTGAGCCCAGGAGATCGAGGCTGCAGTAAGGCGTGATGGTGCCACTGCACTCCAGCCTGAGCGACAGAGTGAGACCCTGTTTCAAAAAAAAAAAAACGTAAAAGAAAAGAAACTGGGCCGGGCGCGGTGGCTCAAGCCTGTAATCCCAGCACTTTGGGAGGCCGAGAGGGGCGGATCACAAGTTCAGGAGATCGAGACCATCCTGGCTAACATGGTGAAACCCCGTCTCTACTAAAAAATACAAAAAACTAGCTGGGCGCGGTGGTGGGCGCCTGTAGTTCCAGCTACTTGGGAGGCTGAGGCAGGAGAATGGCGTGAACCCGGGAGGCGGAGGTTGCAGTGAGCCGAGATCGTGCCACTGCACTCCAGCCTGGGCAACAGAGCGAGACTCCATCTCAAAAAAAAAAGAAAAGAAACTGGTGGGCAAAAACCCCACCTGCATGTGTGATGGGAGGAGAAGGCGCCTGGGGAGGGGAGGAGACGGCGCTGGAGAAGGGAGAGGAAGATGCTGGGGCCCCTCAAAGGCCACCCCCAATTTAGTATTTACAATTATCCACATTTCTGAACACCCTCCCCTACTCCCAGCAGGACACCTCTCTGGGGCAGAGCCTGCCTTGAGCCTGGCAATGTCCAGCCTCCCAGGGCTCCTGCTGGCTCCAGGCCGTCAGCTCGGACACAGCTTGGTCGCTGGGGTGCCCTGAGAGCCAGGCCACGGGTGTCACTGCCACCCCACAGTGCACACACTGGTCCCCAGACATGAGACTGCCAAGAAGCCCATCTGTGGCTCCAGGACAGGCAGGTGCGAGAGGGTCTTGTCATTGGCTGGACACTGGTCATGCCTGTTGGAGGGATGTGTTCAACCCACGCATGAAGTGTGGGCATTGATGTGTGTGAGATGTGGGGAAGGGGTGTGAGGCTCCATGAAGGCCACCCAGGTGCTGCAGGGGCTGCTGGGGGGAGGCCGGGGAGAGGAGCAAGAGACTGCAGATGGGCCCCCACCCCACCCCCACTCGGGACCCCACCCCAGCCTGGCCTGCGGCTGAGCTCCCCACAATCAGCATCTCGTTTTACTGCATGAAAGCTGGGGTGCTGACAGCCCCTCACTCGCTTGTCGTTGGCCTTCCTTGTAGAGGCCGGAGGCTCAGCGCCTGGTGCGGGGTTAATGATGTTAAAATATCTGGCCAACATTTAAGTAAGCACTTTTCACCTAAGGGCAGCTCAGGCTTGGCAACCACTGCAGGTGCTGAACAGCAGCACCCTTCCGTGGACCCCCCACTTCTCCGCGGGCACGGTGGCTGATGGACTGTGGTGCCCTTGGGCATGGTCTGGGCTTGGGTAGGCAGAGCCACTCCGCCTGCCTGGGCCTTGCAGAGAGCAGGAAAGAGGCTGGCCCCGCCCACCCCACCCTCCTAGGCCCCTCCTGGGGCCAGCCCCCGCCCCCGCCCCCGCCCCCGCCCCTGCCGAAGCTGCCCTCTGCCCTCCGGTCGGGGAGGGGACCGTGCACTCCAGAAGCCAAGGAGGTAGAATAGGAGGGGCTGTCGGTGTGTCTGAGGCAGGGGGTCCGCCCTGCGCCCCACCCAGCCCGAACGCCAGCCTGGACGCCAGTGGGAACGGTGTGCCTCCTGGATCCAGGGGACCTCTGAGTGACCACAGGGCCGGGGTCCCCTGTCGCCCCACGGCCGGTGCAGGGAGCGCTGGACACCGGGTCCCACCGGCCCCGCCAGTTCCTCCTCTGCGCTCGTGGGCTCCCATGGCCCTCGGCCCAGCGCGGTGACCCGGGGGGATGGAGCCCTTCCTCAGGAGGCGGCTGGCCTTCCTGTCCTTCTTCTGGGACAAGATCTGGCCTGCGGGCGGCGAGCTGGACCTTGGCACCCCCGGGTCCACGGACCCCAGCACCGACCCAGTGCCCGCGCTCCCCAGGGAGCCCTGCGGCCCCTTCCCACAGCTCTTCCTTGCGCTCTACGACTTCGCGGCGCGGCGCGGGGAGGAGCTGAGTGTCCGCCGCGGGGACAGGCTCTGCGCCCTGGAGGAGGGGGGCGGCTACATCTTCGCGCGCAGGCTCTCGGGCCAGCCCAGCGCTGGGCTCGTGCCCATCACTCATGTGGCCAAGGCTTCTCCCGAGACGCTCTCAGACCAACCGTGAGTACCTCGACCTGGAGTCGGAACCTGCCTCGCCCTAGTCTGGGGAGTCTGGAAAAACGGCAGGATTTTGAGTTTGAAATCGCATGTCCGTGGCTATCTGTTCATTCATTCGTTCATCCATGCATTCATTCAGGGACAGTTGATGAGCCGCGGGCCGGCAGGTAGGGTAGGAAAACAGCAGAGTCTGCTGTGCGCTGCCAAGAGGGAGAGGAGGCTCCACAGGCCTGGTCAGGTCCAGGGGACACCAACTGCACCAGCCCAGCACCCAGCGGGCGGTTCCTCCAGGACCCTGCCTGGCTGGCCAGGCCCTCCTGCCCTCACACAGGGAGTCCAGTGTTCATGGAGTGTTCTTGGAGTGGTCACTCCTTGGAGGGCAGGGGCTGGGGGCTGGGAGGCACCAGATGACATAGGGGCTCATGCTCCAGGAGCTCTGGGTGAGGGCAGGTGAGCAGGGGCTGCAGAGGCACCTAGTCCAGATGCCCAGTGCAGCTGCTCTGAGCAGCTTCCTTGGTCCTGTGTCCAGCTGGGCCAGGCCTGAGCCCTGGAGACCTCCGGGTCAGCCTTGGTCAGGGCCACTTCCAGCCTCCTGGGGGACCCTTGGCACTCACACATCGTCCTGAGGGTTGCATGGGGTGGGTGAAGCCAGAGTCATAGGAAGGTGTCTTCTGAGAGGCCCCAGGCCCTCACCCCACACCTGCCTCGCTTGCCCTGAGCAGTGGTTGGGGGCAAGCAGCCATTGTGATGGGAAGGGGTTCACAGTCACCGCAGGTATGGAGGGCAGATCCCTTCAGCAGTTCCTGGAGGGCAGGGCTCAGGGTAGAGCAGTGCTGTCCATAGGCAAAGCTAATGACTATTTGCCTAGGCTGGAGATTAAAAGACTAACCACACTCAGGTGTCATTAGCTCCAGACACCTGGCCCCACGCCCCAGGGAGAGACCTCAGGCACATCCCCTGCATCTCAGCGTCCACACAGGGGCCCACCTCCGACCCCCAAGCCCTGATATGGGTGTCAGAGGGGCTGGCAATGTGTTGGGGAAACACCTGTGTCTCCTGCCCACACTCCGCAGTGCCGGGAGGGGCCTGAGTCCCTTCACACGTGAGAGGGTTGCGTCTCCCTGCCAGCAGACCCCAGAAGGCAGGGGCCCTGGCTGACAGAGCATCCATGGAGCCAGCGTCTCAGGCCGCCGCCTCCTGATCCCTGGTCCCACAGCTCTTCTTCTCCATCTTCATTCCTTTCAACCTCAGCCCAGCCCCACGGCCCTGGCCATGCCGGTTTCTGTTCCTGCTGCCCCCATTGCCCCCCAGGTCCCCGGGGCAGGGGTGCCAGACTGTCCTCCATCTTGCCCAGTTCCAGCAGCCACGTCTGCCCAGGATGGCTTGGCTGTACCCCAGCCCCGAATCTTGTGTTGACTCTGAGGCCCGCCTTGGGTCCTCTCCTAGTCCCACTCCCCGGGTGGTTTCAGCCCCACCCTGACACCCGGCTCACTCTGCTTCCTCCTTCTGGTGCTTACAGGGTGTGCCCTGGGGTGGGGGAGTGGCAGGTATCCCTCCCTGGGTCCCAGGAAGCTCCAGGGTGGGAAACTGAGTCAGGTGTGGAGTCCCTGCCTTGGCCTTCAGAAGCAGAGATATGTAGTCGAGGTGGGGCTGGGAGCGTTTCTGTCTTCCTTCCAAGGATGCCTCTGGCTCCCAGGAGTGAGCAGATGTGACCTGATGGGTGACCCACCTGGACAGGGGAGCCCCAGCAGGCTCCTCTCCTGACACCCGGTGTGGGCTCCTCGTGTTTGGACATCTGAGGAGTAGGTGCCTGGGAGCTCCCGGCCACCGTGCCACCATGTTCAGAGTGGTCTCACCTCCACCTGGCTTTTCGGAGGGGGTGTCTGTGTGGACAGAGGCCAGTGGGCTTGGGGCCATCGTGTACTGGGCACAACTCTTCAGAATAGGATGCAGGATGCTTTGAACGTTCGCCCAGCAACCCCCCTGCAGCCGCCCATTGGCTGCCCCTCCTGACCTCCTGCCCAGCCTGGCTTAGGCCGCCTCCTCAGGACAGAGCTCTGCATGGGCCATCCCCACTAACCAACTGCCTGAGGCAAGTGGGCTGTGCCCAGCCAGGTGGCGCCTGTGGCCCTGTACGACCACACCAACAGCCCAACAGTGCTTCCGGGCAGCTCATCAGGCCGTCGGCTCCGTGTCCGCGCAGGGGCTCAGCGAAGCCGAGTTTGGAGGCCTGTGGCCTATGGCCAGGGCTGACTGTTAACCTGTGGCTGGGGCTGGCGGTCACTATGAACAGGAAACTGGAGGTCATGCCCAGGAGGGCTAACAGACAGCCCACGGCCAAGGTGAGGACGCTCAGGGCTGAGCAGGAGGATGGGAGCTGAGGCAGTGCAGACCTTGAACTGGGACTCCAGCCCTGCCACAGGGTGGACCTTCTCCCTGAGAGGCAGTGGGACGGCCGGGCTCAGCCCTGCCACCAGCATGGAGGAGAGCATGTGGGGCCACTGGCTGAGGGGACTGCAAGGTGACTGCCTCACCTGCTGTTTTCAGCTGGTACTTCAGTGGAGTCAGCCGGACCCAGGCACAGCAGCTGCTCCTCTCCCCACCCAACGAACCAGGGGCCTTCCTCATCCGGCCCAGCGAGAGCAGCCTCGGGGGCTACTCACTGTCAGGTACCTGGGGCGGCCCCTCCTGCCTCTGTCCCCCACCAGACCAGTGCTCTTGACCTTGGGGCGGTTGGTCTCTAGGCGGTGCTGGGTCCTGAATCACACCTGGTGCCACTGAGGGCCCAACAGCAGATATACCTGTCACCTCCTGCATTTGCTCACTCACCCATTCATTCATTCATTCATCTAGTCATTCATCCACTCACTTATTTATAACATCACTCATTCACTCGTTCATTCATTCCTCATTCACTAATTCACTCACTCATTCACTCATTCATTCATCGTTCATTCACTCCTCACTCACTCATTAATTCACTCATTCATCCATTCATCCACTCATTTGCTTGTTCATTCACTCCTCACTCACTAATTCACTCATTCATTCATTCACTCATTCACTCATTTATTCATTCACTCACTCACTCATTTATTCACTGATTTGTTCACTGGCTTATTCTTTCATTCATTTGCTTATTCATTCACTCATTCACTTTTTCCTTCTTTCCTTCCTTATTCCTTCATTCATTCACTGAATCATGGACTCATTCATTCTACAAGTATTTATTAAGTGCCTACTCTGCGCACACTGTCAGCAGAAAAGCTCCAACCTGGACCCCTCTCGCTGCCCACCCCAGCCTGTGGCTCCCACACTCCCTCCTCCACACAGCTCTGGCTGTCTCAGGGTCCCCAGCTAGGTCTGAGCCAGACCCCTGCGGTGGGTTGTGGCCAGCACCCTCTGGGGTGGGAGGGTCGGGGCAGCTGGCAGCCGAGGCAGGGGTCTCCATCTCTGAACCCTTCCTAGTCCGGGCCCAGGCCAAGGTCTGCCACTACCGGGTCTCCATGGCAGCCGATGGCAGCCTCTACCTGCAGAAGGGACGGCTCTTTCCCGGCCTGGAGGAGCTGCTCACCTACTACAAGGCCAACTGGAAGCTGATCCAGACCCCCCTGCTGCAGCCCTGCGTGCGTCAGGTGGGCCTGTGCCTGCCAAGCTGCCCCACACTGGCCTGAGGCCTGGCCCTGTTCTAGGTGCTCCTCCCCACTCCGTCTCAAAGCCCCTGCCCAGGCCGGGGAACATGGGGCATCCCAGCGGCCCCTGCACATGCTGCTCTTTGCTGGTGTCTCCGAGGGCTGTTGGGATTCCTGGGGGGCTGGGAGTGGGGAGAGGAGACCTGTAGCAGTGCCCGGCTCTGCAGGGAGCAGCCGGGAGGGTGGGGCCAGTTTGGGGAAGGCACTCAAGGCTTCCCCAGGCCCCAAGGGTGGAAGCTGTGGGAGGAGACGAGGATCACAAGATGCTGCACCTGGGCTGGAGCTGCTGGATCCCGGGGACTGTCCCCGATGTGAGCCACCCTGCTGAGGGCCAGGGCAGCAATCTGGTTTCTCTGGTCTCATAATGACAGCCCGGCCAGCAGCAGTAATGAGCATGTGTAGACGGATATCCGGCTGGGGCAAAGGTGCCACTTAGGCCCCCAGAGCAATGAGATCCCGCAGGGCTGGGCCGGGCCTCCAAGTCCAGCACCCACTCCCCTTTGTCCCGGCCAGGGTGGGGTGAGTGTGTGCTGGGGACGGGGGTGCCCGCTGGAGGCCTGGTGTGGGGGCTCTGCCTGGGACAGAGCACAGGGGCCCATGCTGACCAGCCTCCCTGCCCACACTTCCTGGGGGGAGCGGGCAGGGCACTGAGCTCCCTGCTTTTCTGCTTTCCTGCAGAAGGCCCCGCGGCAGGATGCGTGGGAGCGACCACACTCCGAATTTGCCCTTGGGAGGAAGCTGGGTGAAGGCTACTTTGGGGAGGTATGGGAAGGCCTGTGGCTGGGCTCCCTGCCCGTGGCGATCAAGGTCATCAAGTCAGGTGAGGCCCCGAGATCCTGCGCCACGGCCGGGCCCCACACCCGCTGTCCAACCCTCAAGCCCTGGGACAATGATGTTCGTGGCGTGGGCCAATCCTGGAGCCATACCCTGTCTTGCAGCCGACATGAAGCTCGCTGACCTCGCCAAGGAGATCCAGACGCTGAAGGGCCTGCGGCACGAGCGGCTCATCCGGCTGCATGCGGTGTGCTCGGGCGGGGAGCCTGTGTACATCGTCACGGAGCTCATGCGCAAGGGAAACCTGCAGGCCTTCCTGGGCAGTGAGTCCCTCCCTGCTGCCACCCCTTCCCTTCCGGGCAGAGCTGAACCTGCCGGGGTTCCGAGGTGAACCGGGCCTCTCTACCGGGAGCAGGTGGCCCCGGCTCCAGATCCCATCCCTGTCTGGTCTCCAGCCAACAGAGGGCTGGGGCCAGGTCTGGGCCAGGCCAGAGCCTTGTGGTTCCAGGGCTGGGGCTGGGGGAGTGCGGTCCCATCTGGGTCATCAGCCTTGGTCTGATGGGATGTGGACCCAGCCCAGCCTCTGGCTCTTCTCTGCCCCGGTCTTTATTAGGGGCCTAGGCCGGCTGCCAGGTCACCGTGGTGAGTACAGCACCCTCCCCCTGTCTCACTTGGGGCTTCCTGCAGCCTTAGCCGGCCACGCCATCCTCATCATGTCTTAGAGATGAGGAGGCTGAGGCATGGGGGAAGGTGACGTGGGTGGACGCTGGCCTCTCTGGTTGTTGGCCCTGCGCCCTGAAAGGCCCCGTGCTGTCTCCTGCAGGCCCCGAGGGCCGGGCCCTGCGTCTGCCGCCGCTCCTGGGCTTTGCCTGCCAGGTGGCTGAGGGCATGAACTACCTGGAGGGGCAGCGCATCGTGCATCGGGACTTGGCCGCCAGGAACGTGCTTGTGGACGATGGCCTGGCTTGCAAGGTGGCTGACTTTGGCCTGGCCCGGCTGCTCAAGGTCAGCGGAGGCTCTGGGCCCCTGACTGCTCGAGGGGGTGGGTGAGGGGGGGCCCCAGTCCACCTGTCCTACCAGGGGCCTTCCCTGCCCCCAGGATGACATCTACTCCCCGAGCAGCAGCTCCAAGATCCCGGTGAAGTGGACAGCACCTGAGGCGGCCAGTTATCGTGTCTTCTCCCAGAAGTCGGACGTCTGGTCCTTCGGCGTCCTGCTGTATGAGGTTTTCACCTATGGCCAGTGTCCCTACGAAGGTGCATCCCCGGGCAGCCGCAGGGAGGAGGCAGGCTCTGCCCAGGAGTCACTGGCCCTGGGCCTGGACGCTGTTAGCAGGGGATTGGAGGGTCTGGCCAAGGGCAGGCAGGTGACATGGGGGGCTATGGGAGGCCTCCACTGGGACCCCCAGGCAGAATCAAGGCAGCTCTTGCCCCACGCCTCCCAGGGATGACCAACCACGAGACGCTGCAGCAGCTCATGCGAGGGTACCGGCTGCCGCGCCCGGCTGCCTGCCCAGCAGAGGTCTACGTGCTCATGCTGGAGTGCTGGAGAAGCAGCCCCGAGGAACGGCCCTCCTTCGCCACGCTGTGGGAGAAGCTGCACGCCATCCACAGATGCCTTCCCCGGGTCCTCACGTGACTCAGGGCTCCGGGCTCCACCAGGCCAACCCCTCCTCCCTGCAGAGCGTCAACTCGAAGGGATGCTGGTCGGCCGGACCGAGGAGCCTCTGGCTATGGGCCTCAGGCACCAGCGTGCACATGCATTTGTGCACCAGGCAGACACGTGGCCGTGGGCCTCAGGTCCTGGCGTGCACACATGTTTGTGCACCAGGCAAACATGTGCAGACGGTGGAGGGCTCACGTTCTCTGTGCAGTGTGACACGTGTCCCTGGCGTCTCAAGAGAGACAACAGCACAGGAAGGTGGGGAGAGGCCTCGGAGGCTCTAGGCGGGGACCCCGAGCCCAGTGTTTCTCTTGTCCGGGTCCCCTGGACTCCCTCCCAGGGTCAAGAGCCAAAGGCCCAGTTCTCTCCCCAGTCCCATCTTGGGTTTGTGGAAGTGACCAGTGCTGGCTCCCAGGCAGACCACGGTGTTGACCCCACTGTGTGCGTGGTGTGTAGGCACGGGGAAGCACCATCACCAGCCCCTCACAGACAGCTGGCGGCCTGTGCGCAGACCCACTCATGCACACGGCACTCAGTAAGCTGGGACTGACCCACGCAGACACATGCACAGGCTCACATCACACACAGGCTCAGCCCCCAAACTCAGACCCAGGAGCTGGAGCACGGGAGTCCACGTGGCTAGAAAATGCAGGTTGGAGCGGCCCCTGTGCGGCCCAGACCCCCAGCCCAGGACATCACGCTGCCCAGACAGTGTGAACCCCAAGGGCATTGGCGGGAGCTGCCTGAGCTGCCAATTCCATCTCCCTGGGCGGGTTCCAGGGGGCACAGGAAGGGGGGGCCGGGACGCTTGGTGGCCTGGGAGCTGCCCTTGGAGGCTATTTCCAGGGGCCTCAGGTTGGGCCCTGGGGGACTTGGAGTCTTCTGGCTGTTCAGGATCAGGCAGGGTGGGTCGGGGAGTCAGAGGTAGATACCGTGGTGTGCTGGGCAGCAGCTGGCTCAGGAAACCTCTGGGTGTGAGTCCTTGGCGGCCACCGAGGCAGGAGGGGGCAGGGATGTGCAGGGTCGGTCCTCGCTCACCCCATGTCTGGCTCAGGGAGGCTTCTGCTCAGGTCTTTGTGAAATCAGAAGCAAGGGGGCCGGCGGGGTCTGTTTGGCGTCCCCGGAGACCCTGCCCCCCACCCTCCTGGGAGCCCAGGTTGGCAGTTGTGCCCCAGAAGGCTTTCGGGGACAGAAAGTTTGGAGACAAGTTCAGGCCTGACTGAGTTCCTTGTTCCCTAGAGTTAGGATCAGCTTTGCACCTGCCGAGCCAATGCGCTGATGGCCACTGTCCACAGGCCAAAGCCTGACTCGGGAGGCAGCTAAGAGATGAGACTCCCATGTGCAAAGGTAAGTGGCCCCAGGGAGGGAAGAGGCCACTCGGAGGCTCAGAGAACGGAGGCAGTGCAGGGGCTTCCTGGGGCCCGTGAGCAGGAAGAACAAGGCCAAGCAGAGGGAAGCAGCAGGAACCAGAACCCCTGCAGATGGTGGGGGCAAGAGGCTTTCTCTGAGCCGTTTGGGACCCTGGCCAGCTGCCCAGTTCCATCTGCGTGGGAGAACGTAGGGGAAGGGCTGGCTCTGGTACCTGGGCCCACTGAGGCCTTGAGCTGAGCTTCCGATTTTGGCACGTCCCCAGCACCGCAGCCTGGGGGCTCCTCTGGCACAGAAGGCCTTGCTCTCTGTGCTTTCTGTGGCCGCCACTGGGATTAAGGGGACCAGGTGTGTCTGTGGCATCTGTGCCCTCCCAGGCATCTCACCAGCCACCAGCTGAACAGGTTTGGTGCTCCTGGATATCGGGGAGGGGCCAGGGACGTTCCTGCCTCCTGGTGTGGCTTAGACTGAAAGTCCTGCACATCCGAACTCAGGGACACTCGAGGCTTCCTGGACACAGACTCACGGCCCAGAGGCCCAAGGCTCGAGGACACCCGGGCGGTGGCAGAGCTGGTGGGCTCTGAGGGATGTTGCCTGGGCAGATGCCCCAGCGCCCTCCTCCGGCATGCCCCATCTCCACCCCTCCCCCTGCATCTCTCCCGACTGACCCCCGGCAGAGCTGGCAGGGCCTGAGGGACACTGCCCAGCCCGGCACCCCGCTGCCCCTCCCTACCTTGGTCAGCCCTGAGCTGGGCTGCCCAGAAATCTATGAACCTGTTAAATAATTATTGTTCTTAATCTCCAAACAATGAGCGGAAGGTTCCATTATTTCTCTTTGCAATAAAAATAAAAGTTCAAATACGCAGAGTTTAGGACTTTCCCTGCCATTCCTTGCAGACTTTGAATTTCCCTCCTCACCCCTTCCTACCCCCTGAGGCTGCCGATCCAGGCCCCTGCGTTGGAGCCCCTGGTGGACACAGGAGGGTCAGCGGGAGGGTGGGGCGGGCAGGGGTTCCTGGGGAGGGGGTGTCTTGAGTCTCAGGGGCTGGGGGGCAGGCGGCCTTTGGGTGCAGGTGAGGGTCACGCCAGGGCTCACTCAGGCATGGGTGGGGAGAGGGGAGGTGAGCTGGAAGGGAGCAAGGGTCACAGGGCTGGGCAGGAGGCGGCAGAGGCTGGAGGCTGGAGGAGCTGCCTGGGAGGGAGCTGCACCCCGGGCCCCAGCGCTGTGGGCGCTTCCAGGCCACACTCACGGTCCTTCCCTGCCCCCTGGCGTCCGTGTGGAGGAAGGCAATGCCCGTTTCTTCAGCTGCGGGTGCCCCTGGCTCTGCCTCCCCAGGGATCCCCAAAACCCTCGGGCCCTCCTCTTCCGGGAAGTCCTCCCGGCCGACCCACACAGCTGTCACTGCCCTGACTCCAATCCGTCTTCCCTGCTTGGCCCTTACCCGAGGGCGGGCCTGCCCATGAGGCGGGTCTCAGGATGCCCGCCCACAGCAGCTCCTGGCATTGGGCCCCGTGCTCCGGGGTGGAGTCTGGGGCTGGGTGAGGGGAGGCACCAACGGGCGGAGGAGAAGCTTCCAGAAGTGGGGAGAGAAGCCCCCACCTGTGCCCCCACAGCTCTGAGGGTTGGGAAGGCAGCACCTGCAGCCCTCACCTTCCTGCCTTCAGGCTGCAAGGCTCATTCCCAAGGGGGCCCTTGGGTTCCCTGAGTGCCTGAGTGTCCACAGGTTGGACCCCCGAGAAGTCCCAGCTGGGGAGTACTCCTCCCTCCCTCGTCTGTGCTCAGGCGGCCCTGTGGCTGCTTGCCCAGCAGGTTCCCGTGGCGGGGGCACTAAGTGCCCAGATGGGCCCCGGGGGGCGTGAGGACTTGTGGGGCCGGCTGGGCCCTCAGGAGGAGCTGGGGTGCTCTCGAGCGCCTGTGGGTGCTGGGTGTGGCTGCTTCCCTGCCTGTCACGAGGAAGTGGGACCGCCTGCCTGCCACGCCCAGCCCTAGGTGCTCCAGCTGGGCCACAGCCTGGTCCTGCCACTGCGCCAGCCATGGCGTCCCGGGACCAGGCTCACCTGGGCCCCAAGTATGTGGGCCTCTGGGACTTCAAGGCCCGGACGGACGAGGAGCTGAGCTTCCGAGCGGGGGACGTCTTCCACGTGGCCAGGAAGGAGGAGCAGTGGTGGTGGGCCACGCTGCTGGACGAGGCGGGTGGGGCCGTGGCCCAGGGCTATGTGCCCCACAGCTACCTGGCCGAGAGGGAGACCGTGGAGTCGGAACCGTGCGTGTCCTGAGCTCCTGGGAGCTTTGGCGCAGGCCACCCTCTAGGCACAAGGGAGGGACAGGGCTCTGGGCTGGCCCCAGGGAGGCCCAGGAAGGTGGGGACCCCGGCTCCATCTTCCTGTACCCCGAAGTCCAGGCTGGGCATCCCACTTGGTCCTCGCTCCAGGCCCCATGTGCTGGCACCTGGGAGTGCCCACAGGACTGTCGCTACAGGAGTTGGAGCAGGGGGCTCAGAGGACATGGCCCCTCCCTTGGGCTCATCCTTGTCACAGCTCGGTGGTGGACACTGCTCTCCCAGGACCCAGGGAGGACAGAGGTCCAGGGTGGACTTCTGGGGGTCCGGTGGCCAGTGACAAGGTCTGTTGGGGCGTTCCAGGGCCTTTGGGGGAACGAAGCTTGCTCAGTTTCCAAACTGTCAGAACCAGACACACGACCTAGTTAGGGGAGCAGGCCGGCTGCCAGGCAAACTTCCTGCCTGTTGTGCCCTGCGAGGAACCAGACGGCAGCTGGTGTGGTCTGGCCTCGGCTTCCATGGCTGCTCGGAGCTCAGGCTGGGGAGGGTCTGGGGGAGGGGTTTCTACGAATCACACTCCTGAGATCCCGCTTTTCTCATCATTGATTGGGTACCTACTGTGTGCGTGCATGAATCATGGGCTGTGTAGGGTTAATTCCTGGGGGACCCAAGCAACAAGCAGGGGAGGCTGTAAAGAGGCCATTGGGCAGGGGCCCATGGCGGAAACCCCTGTGTCACATCCAGACCCACCACCTCGTTAGGGAGCAGGGGTGCAGGGATAGGGTCTGGCCAGAGGCTGGTCAGCTCCCAGATGCAAAGACCCTGAGGCCCTGAGAACTTGCCCAGGTGAGGAGTGGGAAGGAGGCCAGGTGATTGGAGGGGTGAGTGGGGCAGTGCTCCCAGCTGTGCAGAAGCGGAGGTAGACCCCAGGGGTTCCATGCTGGGCGGTGGTCTTCATCTGGGGTCCGTGTTCCAGTGGCCCAAGGGAGTCAGAGAGACAAAGGGCTGGGCACAGGTCACCTGGAGCTTCTGTGATCTCCACCTGGAAGTCCACAGTCCAGGGCTGGCCCACACCCTGCATCCGGGAGTTAGTGTCTGTGAGTGACTGTGTGTGTGTGTGTGTGTGAGAGACTGTGTGTGTGTGTGAGTGACTCTGTGTGTGTGACTGTGTGTGTGTGACTGTGTGAGTGACTGTGTGTGTGAGTGACTGTGTGTGTGTGTGAGTGACTGTGTGTGTGTTCCCAGCTGTGCAGATGGAGGTAGACCCCAGGGTTCACTGGGCGGTGGTCTTCATCTGGGGTCCGTGTTCCAGTGGCCCGAGGGAGTCAGGAGAGGTCAGTGGCTGGGGTACGTCACCTGGAGCTTCTGTGATCTCCACTCTGGAAGTCCACAGTCTAGGGCTGGCCCATACTCCTGCATCCGGGAGTTAGTGTCTGTGAGTGACTGTGTGTGTGTGTGTGTGTGAGAGACTGTGTGTGTGTGGAGTGAGACTCTGTGTGTGTGACTGTGTGTGTGACTGTGTGAGTGACTGTGTGTGTGAGTGACTGTGTGTGTGTGTGAGTGACTGTGTGTGTGTGTGTGACTGTGTGTGTGTGTGACTGTGTGACTGTGTGTGTGTGTGTGACTGTGTGTGTGAGTGTGTGTGTGTGAGTGTGTGTGTGTGTGTGAGTGAGTGTGTGGGAGTGACTGTGTGTGTGTGTGACTGTGTGTGTGAGTGACTGTGTGTGTGTGACTGTGTGTGTGACTGTGTGTGTGGTGTGTGTGTGACTGTGTGTGTGTGACTGTGAGTGACTGTGTGTGTGTGTGTGTGTGTGTGTGACTGTGTGTGTGAATGTGTGTGTGAGTGACTGTGTTTGTGTGACTGTGTGAGTGACTGTGTGTGTGTGTGAGTGACTGTGTGTGTGTGTGTGAGTGACTGTGGGCAAGTGAGCCCGCATGCGTGTGTGTGTTCAGTGTGCGGGTGAACCATGTGCCTGTGTGGGGGTAGCCCACATGCATGTGTGTGTGTGTGTTCGGTGTGCGGGTGAACCATGCGCATGTGTGGGGGCATGCAACTGTGTGAGTGCATGTGTGTACGTGTCACACATGGGTGTGTGTGCAGGCAGCTCTGGGCAGCCCTACTGCTCAGGTGCCCTCCCCAACTCCACCCTAGGCTCTGACCCTTAGACACGGGCCTCTCAGGGCAGGGTGTGGTCAAGCCTGCCCCTCCCCCCGCTGGGTCCTCAGGGGCCTGTCCTGGCAATTTGGGACATTTAGGGCGTCTGGGTCAGCGACAGCTCCCAAGAGCAGCTGTGGTCAGGGCTGGGAGCTTAAGGTGGCAGGCAAGGCAGACTGGGGCCCGCGGGGGGTCCGTGTGGGGTGGGCCCAGGTCCGCGCGGGCTCAGACTACTCCTCCCCTGCAGGTGGTTCTTTGGCTGCATCTCCCGCTCAGAAGCTGTGCATCGGCTGCAGGCCGAGGGCAACGCCGCCGGCACCTTCTTGATCAGGGTCAGCGAGAAGCCAGGCGCCGACTACGTCCTGTCAGGTGCGGCCGGCCTCCGAGCCTGCGGGGGCTCCTTGCTCTAAGCCCTCCCATTCACGTGGTGAACCCGGCTCCCTCGGGCTGTGACTGGGGACATGGGCTCCTCTCCAGGGAGCCACCATCCCCTCCGCCCACCTGGCCCGCTCCTCCCTGGGGCCTAGGGCAGTCGTGGGGCAGGGCCCCTCCCCGGGAGGGCAGGGGCTTCTCCAGCCAGCCCTGCCTGAGGCACTCATGGGAGGTCCTGGCACCTGTGGGAACCTGGTCCAGCATGAGACCCTGAGTCCGGGGTGCACGAGGCGCGAAGAAACCCCATTCTTGCCCCTGAGGATCTCAGTGTGGCTGGGATTTCAGGCAGCTGCCATCCAGGCAGAGGCCATGGGCTGCCTGGCACGGGGGCAGGAGGGGCCAGAGAGCTTGGCCAGAGCAGGCAGGGCAGGAGGGAGCTGTTTCAAGGGAGGGGACGCAGGGGTGGGTACTGAGGAAGCACCAACAGCAACTACGGGGACCCAGAAGCTCTGAGCAGGTGTGGCCAGCAGGGCTGGGGACGCGCAGGGAGGCGTTGGAGCGGGGTGGTAACACCGCTCACGCTCTCCCTCCCAGTGCGGGACACGCAGGCTGTGCGGCACTACAAGATCTGGTGGCGAGCCGGGGGCCAGCTGCACCTGAACGAGGCGGTGTCCTTCCCCAGCCTGTCCGAGCTTGTGAACTACCACAGGGCCCAGAGCCTGTCCCACGGCCTACGGCTGGCCGCGCCCTGCCGGAAGGTAGCCGCTTCGCCCTGACTTGGTCGTACAGGGTCAGGCTGAGGGGTCACAGGCTGGCGTTTCCTACTGGGAGAGGTTGGCCAGGCAGCATGGGAGGGGTCCTGACTCACTGAGCTGTGGCCGGCTGGAGGCAAGCTCGTGGTTCTGCAGAACACAGGTGTTTGCCTGAGTTGGGGGTGGGGCCAGGAGACCACCCCTGGGCCTGGCCACTCTCGGAGAGGCCAGCTGCACTCTGCAGGGTCCTGGCTTCAGTCTCTCCGGGTGTTTTGTGCTGGGCTTGGGGCAGCCACCGGG